GAATATTAATTAGGCAAAGACAAACCTCAGGTAAAATTTTTTATTAAAATCGGCATGCGGGGCTGGCCCAGACTCTGCCCACACATTGTCAGCCTGACAATGTTTATTTTTTCGGGTGTCTCTTATGTGGGAAACCCATCGTAAGTGGGTTATAATGTGTTCATAACTTTTAGAAATATCAGAAAACAAACAAACAAACAAAAAAGAACAAACAAACAAGCAACAAACAAACAAAGAAACTAACGGAAGTTACAATAAAGATAAACAAAAGGTCATGGGGTACATGAAAATTATCTATATGTGCTTATATACCTTACATACATACTTTTACATCGCCATGTAATTGTATTTCGTCTTTCCATGGGGTCTGAGTGTGAAATTGGCCACATGACCCCATAGAGTATTTCATGGTCCACGACACCGGCCGCGCAGAGAAAAGGACGTGGATGATACCCGTCCGATAAGAGAACGGTTATTTTTCTGATCAATATTATGCATTGGAAAACCCCATTAGAGCAACAGTAATAGGTAAATAATAAATAATTATATAATATACAAACATTTCGTACATGATTTGTCATGTAAAACATATGAATAATGAAAAGGAAAAAGACCATGATTATTAGATCCTTCACATTTTTACGCATAGCACACATATTGTCAGTCCAATTTTAACGTATTATGGCTCATTTTGTAGCTGAATAATAGATTTATTACATGTTGCAATAAGGATTTGCAATATTTTCATGTGCTTATAAAAGTGACATATATTTTCAATATCCCCTTTTAGGGTGTTACCAAAAAAAAAAAAAGGAAGGTCGACTTCTAATAAATAGCTTCTGCATATTATAGTAGAAGGATAGTTCTATTCAGATATGAAATCATAATGGATATACGATTTTTTGGGGGGAGGGGGGATTTTAGATAAATTTAAAAAAAATGTTTAATGTAGGCCTATAGACAAAAAAAAATTACTGCCAGCCTGATACGCTATACGAAAGAATTTGAGAAACCGTTACGTGCTGGCAATGTCTGGAATACTTCAGAATGCAAGTAGATGATAGGCAATTATGGTTTAGGAAGATTATGCTTCTCCCTTTAATTTTTCATATCGTAAGGATTATGAAAAGAAAAAAAACTTCAACGACTGTTATTTCAGAAGTATATTTATTGTTTTATGCAAGGTACAGGATGGAATTTAGTCCAAAATAAACATATTATGGATCTTTTTTTTGGTACGTAGTGTCTAGCGAATGTTTGCAGCCAGGGAAAATTTTCGTTTTTTCCTGTGCTTGTAAAGTTGACATATAAGTGATGAAAACCGTTTTTTTTTTTGGGGGGGGGGAAACCAGCTTAGTCAACTCCGCTAAAATATTTCCCCCCCAAAAAAAAAAAAAAATGTTGAAATAAAAAAAGTGCTCCCAACATTCCCTAGATAAAGGATAATTCAGAGTGACTGCAGTTTTTTCCTGAATTTATTCTTTATTTGAAAAATGGTCAATTGTTTTTTGTTTTGTTTTTTCTACTATAATCCAAAAATTGTTTGGGTGATTTAAAAAAATAGAGATCAGGCTAGGGTCTAAATAAAAGGGTGTGAGTTTCATAAAAACTGGCAAGAAAATTTGAGAGAGAAAAAAAAAACAAAAAACATACGATCACCTTAACCCAATCACGACGGGTGTTCCATATATGAGACACCCGAAAAGATAAACAATCGGGGTGTCACGCCAGTGTGACGTTGTATCGGGGTTGCGCTCTGACGCAGCTGCGGGCCACGGCGGGCGGACAGACTCCAGGGAAGCTCCGCCCACCAATTTTGTAGCTGCCTGGAATATTTTTATTTTGGCTACAAAATGTACCTGGCGTGAATGGGTTAACAAATAGTCAATACTCTGCAATGGACTATATTTTGGGGATGCATTTTTTATTGCCTACTGCCCTAATGACCATTATTAGTGACTTCTCTGCCCACCACAAATGTAGCTTTTTCCTGTTCTGTGTACTGTGAGGTGTCTAGCAGTCTATATAGAAGAAATGACCTGCCATTTCTTGTACACATGTTTAAAAGAAAAAATGGACAGAAAGCCTGGCACACCAATATTACCATTGTAAAAGATGAAGTAAAACTAATTTAGATTAGAAATTAGATTAAATTAGACTTTTTCTACCATTTGATAAGCAGTTGCCTAAATTTGTATGTGTAGGATTTTGTGATTTTATATTTTTCTCTGTGTTAAGCTAATTATGTAAGCTATATTAGTGGCTCAGAGAATCATTGCTGAATAATATTTCTTATGATGGTTTTAGAATTATGAAAGGAGAAACTTGGAGGCTCGGTTACTTGTTTTGTTTTTTCTTTTCAACAACAAAAAATATCATGTACACAAGGGCTAGAAATAAGTAATAAAAGAAGAAAAAATTAAGAATAACATTCACATGTTTGCCTAACTGTTACACATGAAATGCTTCAGAATACTTGAAAGGGCAGAATAGTTGACATTGCAGCAGTCGTGAGAAATGTGGAAGTGGCTTGTGGACACTACTGTGCAACATTTTAGAAGACCACTGATCTCATTGCTACCATTAGGCATGAACCATGACGTGTCACTCTGGGGTTACCATTGTAATAGATAAAGTATGCAGCTACTACTTGAACAGGTCTGTATCTCTTTAAGGAGTGTGAGTTCCCACTGGTATGGCTGGTGTTGGAGATGAGATGGAGATCAACGGGTGGGCTGAGGCTCCATATCTGCAAAGGACTGGTCAGTCCTTGTGTTGCTGCTGCTTAGTAAAAAAGAAAAAAAAAAAAGAAAAAAAAACTTTGCTTCAGGTAAACCGACTGAGTTATTTTTTGCTGAAAAAATGCTGACTCAAAATTTTTTTTTTGCCAAATTCCCGTCTGCCACAAATTTAAACCCCTGGTTTTCAAAAATACCACCAAAAACACAATCCTTAGCACCACAATGGCTAGATTTATGACTACCGAACGCACATTAAGCAAACTTCGTGCTGCACGGATTCTGGAGTTTGAGGGAACCGTCCTTGAAGGTGTGGGGGAGGAGGGTGAAAATTTTGGGGTTAAATTGAGTTACCTAATGTATTGCAATGGTACAAGAATGAGGAAACTACCAAATGTCTATAAAAGCCCAGCTCTGGTTAGTTTTTTGGGAGCACACATGAGACCCGCCAACACATCGGGAGATGCACTGCTGATATGCACTCAGGTACACTTGTGTGGACTTTTGATTGTTGCAATCTTGCATATGGCATTTGGTAATGACATTACACATAGATATGAGTTCGTAAATATTCAAAGAACACTTTTATACCAATATCAGAAAAAATACAGGTAGTCCCCAAGTTACGAACAGGTTCCGTTCCAGTAGGCTGTTCGTAAGTACATTTGTTCATATGTCCGTAGTAGGGCGTACGGTATGTTTTGATTACTGTACACCCAGCTCTAATTTCGGACGTACCGGTATAAACAATGCAGTAGTTTTCGGTGCTTTTTAATGTGCTTTGAACAAACTTCATCCAAAAGTTTTTTAGGTTCTTCTATCCCCTTTCCACATTTCTTACTAATAATAGTAGAATGTATAGGGAATGAACTTTTCACATGTTCCATTATCTTATCCTTGCTCTTGAGTATTGTACCGATGGTAGAATGATTCATATAGTACGAATGAAGTTTTGAGATATCAGGCTTTGAAGTTGAGGATATTTTTTCTTCCATTTTCTCTTTTTTTTCTTTGGAAATCTGATCTCTGAGTCAATCTTGATGCATTCTATGGCATTCACATATATTCTGAAGTGTATCCCCCTCCCCCCTTTTCCAAGGCGCCAGTCGCAATGAGTGCACATGATTGTAGAAGTACCTCATGTCATCAGAGGCTTGTAGTGCTACTCAGGCATTTCATACAAATAAACAACTGCTGCAGCTGTGATTGAGATGTTTGTCTCATCATATCATATTTATTAGTTACAGGAATAACATTGATCATTAGTAGTGGCCTATTATGTGATGAGGGCGCATCGGTGATGGTGTTGCGCCGAGGCATGGGACACGCATCCTCTTGCTCTGGCTCTGTTGCGGGACTAGACTAAATGTAAGAAGAGGGGGGGAAGGAAGAGTGGGGATAGGAGAAGGATAAGGAGGAGGAAAAGAATTTCAGGAGAAGAAGAAGGAGCCGGGGCTTCACCCAGCCTGCGGGGTAAACTTGGGGTAATAGTGGAGTGGGTTTGTTGAAAGAGGAAAAGGATCGAGGGGCTCAGCGCCATCGGCAGACTCGCGTGTTCACCGCGCGGCCGCACCCCGCGGGATCGTGTGGCGAGGCAAGGTCGCGACTCGTGGCGCGGGGAATACCCCACGACCTTGAGCGCGGCTCGCCTCGCCACAATTTTCCCACGGGGCGCGGAGCCCGCTATTGCGTCCACGGAGCCTCTCGGCTAACTGAGGGGGAGGGGAGAGAAGTTAGCAGGTTTTTGGCGC